AAATTGCATTGGCCTTTTTAGCTGCTGCGTCACACTGTTGACTCATGTCCAACTTGTGGTCTACCAGGACCAGATTTTGCTCTTGCTTAGTCCAAAACAAAGGCTTTGTTAAAACATTTGTTATATGGCATCAGGCTGGCTTTGGCTTATGGTGACCCTCTCTGGATGAGAGTCCTCCCTGAGACTCATTCCTCCTCTGCTCCTGCTCAGGTCTTGAAAACTCAGAGTAGCAGCTCTGCCTTCCTTCGCAGAGTCTATCCAACTATGATGCAGTCTTCTTCTTTTCCTACTGCCTCCTCCTGCTTTAAGTCATGCTTTTTCATCATATGTCCAAAATTTAAATATTATTTATTGTTGTATGCCTTCAGTTCATTTCCAACTTTTAGTAAACCAATCACAGGGTTTTCTTGTTCAGAGAGGGGATTTGCTGCTTCAACCAGACAGGGAGAAAGTAGAGGAATGATACTACACTTGGGCAGAAAAAATAAAATGCACAGCTGTAAGATGGGGGACACCTGGCTTGACAACAGCACATGTGGAAGGGATCTAGGAGTCTTAGTAGACCACAAGTTGAACATGAGCCAACAGTGTGATGCTGCAGCTAAAAACGCCAATGCAGTTCTAGGCTGCACAACAGATTTCAGGCTTGATCTGTTCTAGGGCCCATTTGTTTGTCTTTTTGGCCATCTACAGTATCTTCAGCACTCTTCTCCAGCACCACATTTCAAATGAGTTGATTTTCTTTCTATCGGCTTTCTTGACTGTCCAGCTCTCACATCCGTACATAGTGATGAGGAATGGATGATTCTCACTTTATCTTTACACTTTAGGGTCTTGTCTGGCTCTTTCATGGCTGCCTTCCCCATTCCTAATCTTCTTCTGATTTCTTATCTGCAGCCTCCATTCTCTCTGATCCAAGGCTTGGGAAGTCTTTTCACTATTTTGATCACATTTGCTGGCTTCATATGGAATATTCCCAGCGCATGCACTTTGCATTTCTCACTTGCCATCCTTGGCAAACTATATTAAGGCCCAGGAGATATGTAAGAGCTTATGACTCAGGGCTCCCATCCTCTCCAAATTCTGGTCTGTTGGGATAGGAGGCAGAATGCCTTCCTGCCTTCCTTCCTTCCTTCCTTCCTTCCTTCCTTCCTTCCTTCCTTCCTTCCTTCCTTCCTTCCTTTCTATGGAGCAGGATCCTTGATTCACCAGCATGGCCTGCTAATCTTTCCTGGTGTGTCTGGGAGAAGCAGTTCCAGATGGCTGGCAGCTGGAGGCTTGTTGACCATCCCTGCTCCAGGGACCACTCTACTGCCCCTCTCCCATTCCCCATCATCTGAAACATCTTTATTTTTTGTTTTCTCTTAGAGACAGAGACCCTTTTAGCATTCGCTGCAGGTCCAAGTGAGCAGTGCCATCCCAGTCCAACGGCTGGCCCAGAAAGCGAGAGAAAGTGAAGCACCTACAAAGGAAAAAAAGAGAGAGACACAGAGAGAGAGGAAGATGGGCTTCATTTCTTCTGACAGCAGCCTGTCAAGCTGTGACTTTCAGTTGGCACACAAAGTGGAAGATTAATATGAAAACAGCCTTCGTTCTTAGCAGCTACATTCTGTGACTGCAGGCGCCGGATCAAAGAGCAGTTTGGTTTGGGAGTTGTGTTTTATTTTTTATTTTTTTAAAGGGAAGATAATGAACTGTTTTCTACTCAAATTATCCTTGGATTCTTCAGCTGCCAGAAAACAGGGGCCAGCAGGAACACCTGGGACTTTGCAGCCTCTTCCTTTTTTCTGCTGGGCTTGCAAAGCTCTTCTGGGCCACAGCAGAGCGAGAGAGTGATTGGGAGCCCCCGTGACAAATCCATATTTTCCATATTTTTTTGTTGCTTATAATGAACGTCATTTGCTTATTATGTTCACAAACCTGGCAGGTGATATATATAACAGCAGGCAGATGAGTGACACTGGTTCTCTTCTCAATAGCATGCATTTCCCTTTGCTTGGGTTTTTCTCAGACAGTTCCACCTGGGATTTCCAGAGCAACTGCTGGCTGAAATAGCTGCAGAGAACTGGAGGACCTCCGGCTGATGCTGGTATGAAAGAGTTGGTGAGCCATTGCCCTTCCAATGCTGCCAATGGACTTCCCATTGGTTGGACACTGGGGGAAAAATTGGCTATCTCCCTGTCAGTGGCTTACACATGCCTAAGTTCCCTTGCGCATTGGAGGGTCCTTTCTTGGGCCATGGCATACTCAGTGGAAGGTTGTGGAAGCAGAGGGTTGTGTACCATTGCTCACATGTTGCCATTGTGCATTGCCAGAGCAGACAAGCATTGTGCATTGAGCATTGCATGTGCAGATGTGCATTGCAGTCATGCACTTCACATTTGTTTGCACATTCTGTTGCTCCGTGTTGCAATTCACTAATGCACACTCATCACACAACTCTGCAAGGCCATGTTATACTCTAGCTTTAATCCTATTGTTCTTCCTGAGTGGAGTAAGCCCATGGAATCAGCTGCATTTACCAGACATTCAGCAATGGATTCAGTGGGTCTACTGCAGTTGGGACTCACCAACAGGATCACAATCATGGGGGACCTTGGCCAAGTCACACTTTCTCAGTCTCAGAGGAAGGGAATTGCAAATCTCTTCTGGATAAATTTGGCCAAGAAAATCTTCTTTCTAAGAGCCAGCAGCATAGTGTAGTGGTTTGACTGTTGGACTAGGGTTTGGAAGACCAGAATACGAATCCCCACTGGGTGATCTTTGGCATGCCACTCTCTCAGCCTCAGATCTCCTCTGGATAAATCTGGCCAAGAAAAACCTATGAGAGTGTTGCTATAAGTGAGAGTGAGCATGAAGGCACATAAGGCCAACAACTATGTTCTAAGTTTTCGTCTAGGTGTCATTTGAGTCGCACCCAACATTCCTATTTTGTGTTTTGCATAACCCCCTAAGAAAGCCTCTACCTTTCCCCGTGTCCTTCTCCAAAGCCCCCCTGGCCACTTCCACAGATGAATGGCCAAGCGCTGCTCTTGAGTCATGTGCAGGCTATTAAGTCATCAGAGCCTTGCCACCTAACCAGCACTTTCTTTATCTCTCTTATTTTATTCTCAAGTGCAGTTATTGGAAAACTGCTTTCAAAGAAGTGGTTTCTCCTTTCTTTTCTTCTTCTTTTTTTTCTGCAGCAACTTTTAAATTGACTGTCTCTGTCCACTGAAGCACCTTGAAGCTGAGATAAATGAAGCAGAAGAAGAGGCTAATTGTGTCAACTCTTGCTTGCACCGAACATACAAGAAGGTCTGTGCAGCTGGATTAGATCAAAAAGGCCTCTGGCCAGATGTTCTGCCCCACGTTAGCCAGATGGATGCCTCTGGGAAAGCCACAAACAGGAGAGCAACAGCGCTTGGCCTCCCATGTGTGCTGTGATGACTCCAATACTGGGGGACGTCCTTCCCAGTGAGATCACTGTTATTCTTGTTGTTAATTGCCTTCAGGTTGGCTTCAACTTAAGGCAACCCTATAAATGAGAGAACTTCAAGAGCCCTGCTCAGGTCTTGCAAACTCAGGGCTGCCATGGCTTCCTTGAATGAGTCTGTCCACCTGGAAAGAAGTCTTCCTCTTTTCCTGCTGCCTTCTACCTTACCAAGCATCACCATCTTTTCCATTGATTCATGTCATCTCATAATATATCCAAAGCTCACATTACATTTCTAGGGCATCACACACAGTGTCACTCCAATATGATTCTTCCTTTTGGCAGTCCACTGTATCCACAGAACTCTCCTCCAGCTCCAGCAAATGAGTGGATTTTCTTCCTATCAGCTTTCTTCACTGCCCAGTTTCCACAACCATACTTAGAAATACGATGAGGTAGATGATTCTGAATTGGTTAGTTGATGATATAATATTTTGTCATTCTGTGCCTTCTGACTTGTAGTGACCCCAAGGCAAACTTTTCACAGGGTTTTCTTTGCAAAATTTGCTCAGAGGGGGTTTGCCTTTGCCTTCCTCTGAGGCTGAGAGAGCTTTACTTGCCCAAGGTCACCCAGTGGGTTTCAATGGCTGAACAGGGATTTGAACCCTGCTCTCCAGAGTTGTGGTCCAATGCTCAAAACCACTATCCCATGCGAGCTCTCTACGCTTGATATATCTTGATGCATACTTAATGCACACTTGATATCTTGTTGTGAACTGCCCTCAACTCGATCTCAACTCATGGTGACCCTCTGGATGAAGCATCTCCGAGAAGACCCTCTGTCCTCCCCTGCTCTGCTTAATTCCTGCAACCCCTTAAGAAATCCCCATAGTGAACTCTTTAATAATAGAGTCCCTCCATCTGGCCTGTGGCCTTCCTCTCTTCCTCTTTCCTTCCCTCCACCTTCCCCAGCACTATTG